CACACACACACACACACACACACACACACACACACACACACACACACACACACACACACACACACACACACACACACACACACACACATCTACATATCGATATGGGCCACCCTCTATGATCGGTAGTGCAATTTCGAGAACTGCACTGTCACAATAACACTTCCAATAACACAAGAGTATAACCTATAACGTGTAGACACTCATTTCTGTCTCACATAGTTTTCAAACCTACTGAGTTGCGGCAACACATCTATATAACCTGAACCGTGTAAACGTCCATGACCATCTAAGCAATGTCTACGCATCCACCACAACTTTCTTAATCATTGGCCTCGTCGACCGTCTCAGTTGTTGCACGTCCTTTTCGTGGTCACCTTCAACTCTTGGCGCATTGTTGTCATCGTTTTGTTCCTTCTCTTGTATCATATCCTCGCCCGTGCTCTCCGATTTATATCTATTATGGAAATGTGTTCGCACGATCCCTCACCTTTCGTTGCCTGCTCTGTTGTTGCTGCCACCTCCTCTTGTGACACCTTCACCGCCTGGCTTTCATCATCCTGGCCAGCATCGGTCTCCATCATCTATGATATGCCTTGCCTCGCCGTCATTGTCGCTACAAGAGACCCGAAAGATCCAACGTTTGTTGTCCCATCGTTGACCCCCCCTGTTGGCTGCTCTGTCAATGCGCCCGACTCCATATCGTCGCCGTCCTTGCGTATCATTGTGGAATCCCCCATTGCGCTTCTCGGAGTGCTTTGTTGAGCACATGCTCGCTGCTGTTCATCCTGCACGTGACCTGCGTTCGCACGTGTGTCCGTTTCGCAGGCTGGATCCCCTCTGGCAATCGCAATGATGGTGTTAGATGCGATAATGTCCTGAGTCTTCAGAGAGTTGATGCTATCGATTCCTTATACTGCTGAAGCGAGTTCGATTTTCCAATTGATGGAGCCGTACGATACACTTGATGCAAGGTCGTAGAACTTTGTGCTGAATTCTAGCTTTTTGTTCGCACGCAGATGCTCGAACAAAGCTTTCGCCTTTGCCGCTATAGCTTCCTCGCTTGCACCGACGTTTTCTTTCAAAACTCGTCGATAAATTTGCGTTTTCGTCACACTGTGCCATATCGCAACGTCCTTTTTTCCCTTCGCGACCCACCCTCGGTCTCTTGTCTTCACAACCATCTGCCTCTGGCTTGCAAACATACGGTTCGAACATACCCTCATGCCAGAGAATATGATGACCCCAATCCTCCTCCGATGACTCTTTGTACTTGTCCTGCAGCAAGTATGGCACTGAAGGGTCTGGGCAAAGCCTTGAGGCAACGGTCTTCGTGGCACGAGCTTCGGCGTGAGTGCTGTCATATCCAACTCTTCATCTTCATCAGTGTCCATGGACGTGAGTGTTCGTTGCTCGGCCTGCGGTGTATGTGTCGATGATGGCCCAGTTGTCGGCGGGGCCATTGCACACCCATTCTCTCCTCCCCCTGTGTTGCCCTGTGAGTTAACTATCCCCTCACTCGCACCCACTGGGTTTGTTGGTACACCATTCCTTTCTCCCCTTCCAGTCATTCTTGTTTCCACATTTCCCTCACTCACACGTGTTGCTCCCATACTCGAACTCGCCTTCTCCGCATGTCTGTTGGTGCTCCCTTGCGGCTCCTCGCCACGCGCTCCCTTCGCCGCACCTCGTGCCGCGCGCGACGGGACGTCCAGGTCGGAGTCTGACGTGTCTTCGTCGCAATCGATGTTGTTGAAGTTGCCAACTTTATGTGCCAAGTCTGCATAGTCCCGGCCTGCCAGTGCTCTTTTCTTCATATTGAAATACAGATGCTCACAACGTGCGACGAACATGTGGAAAGCACCCATGTGCAAGCCGTGGTACTCGTTCATTGTTATCTCGAGTTCGCTTTTCCTGATGAGGTAGTCGTTATCAACCGTCGACTGTGGAGCGTCAGCGAACAAGAAAGCCCACATTTTCTCCTTCTTTCTACCGAACTTATAGTATATGTCCCGGTCCTTGCGGTGCTCGACTTGGGGCTTTTCGAACCTGCATCTGTTCCTCGGATCCTTCACATAAAAGTCCAAAAACTTCGAAAGGTATGTGAGCTCTTTTGTCGTGTCGTCACAAGCAAACACGTGGTGTCCGGCGCGAGCTAGTTCCCAAATCAGTCCCGCATGCGCCCTGCCCAGCAGCATCACGCCGTCATCCTCCCTGATGAATGAGCTGCATAGCTTTCGGAGACGTGCAGACTCTCGTTCCATCCAAGAATAAACCGCATCAGTGTCGCTCTCCACGCCGATACACTCCCCTGAGCACCTCACAAACTCACCCTCTTCAATGTTAAAATTTGTCAATTCGGCTCGCAATTTCGGCGCAACCGTTATATTGTTCAAATTGTCGTTCTCGACGTGAAGGACAATAGCCATCATATCAATGTACCGAACTGCAATGTTGCCGTACTTGTTCACGGTTGTCGAAGGTGTGTAGTGTCTGTACCATGACCCAGTGAGCACCTCAACATCATCCCACTTGTACACACTCTGCATCACATGTTTTTTGTGCTTCATCGACGCGAAAATGATCAAGGCCCAGTTTTTACCACAGCATGTCGTGAGGAAAGCGTGCAGTTTGGAAAATGCGTCATCATCCCACGGAACACATTTTTGTGATGTTGACATATCGAGAATGATTACCCGTATCTTCATCCCCCTCGCTATACCAACAACCTCCTCGTTGTCGGTGAGCACTCCCATCAGTTCGATTTCATATGGCAAGATCGTGGTAATCCTTTTCCCCACTTCCCAACAGATGTGACGAGCGTTGGAGGATATCCGATTCACCTCCGCTTTCAAGTCGTCCAAACAATTGATCGCCTCGTAGATGAAACACTTGAGGTGGAACGGGGTTTCCTTGTACATGGCATGGGTTGCCTCCAGCCCCGCACCGTTCCCGCCATGAATCTCATCAGGACCGCCCAAACGCCTCGACACCTTCCTTGCCTTGTCGTCACGGATGCGGTCGCGTTCCTCAGTCCATTTATCGTGAGTGAGGCCGTTTTTGCTGTACCTTTCCAAGATGGTCGTATAACCGATGAAGAAGTCAGCGTTCCACTCTTCCTTTGACCTCCCCTCGACCTTGAACAATATGTAGTTGAACTTACAGACCATATATCTCTCACGCCGAGTATATTTTACCAAGTCCGCCATGTTGCATCTACCACGAGGTACCGTACGTGATGTCACGATGACATCACCACACATCATGTGGTGCAGTGCCACTTGCTTCTCTCTCGCTGTCATATCGCCAAACAACTTAAAGATTGAGGGCGTCAAGTCCGCTATAGACACCGTTGCGCCTTGCGGCCCCTTTCTGGCCTTGATGCAGTGGTACAAGACTTTTTTGTCGGAGTTGTCCTTGAGGAAGTATTGCCCAGGCATCCTCCCTTCCACTTTCCCCGACAGATCGACGTATCTCACACCGTCGATTCCTGGCAATAGTCCTTTCTCGTACATGCCAAAGAATTTGTCTACCAGTGGCCATACCGTCTCGCCGCACTACGCAAGATTCATGTATCCGCGCATCTTGTTCGTCCAGTCCTTGCAGTAGTCATTCTCCAGGGACGAGTTCATAAAACCGGAATCAGGTGTCATTTTGCAGGCGGCGTCCATGAACGCTTCCCACTTCTTTTTCCATTTCATTCCCTCGACGTCATTCGGGGACACGGTGCCCGGAGGACAGATCCGGTCATTCCTCTTATCCCAAAATCTTCTGATTTGCCGCACAGATGACGAAAACGATCTCGGGATGGAACGCTCCTCCCTCGTGTTGTCGAATGTGGAGACATACGGATATCCTCTCTTTTTGTCCTCGTTAAAGTAGACAACGCGTACGTTAGAGTACGACCTCAAGCCGTACACTTTCTCGGCCGGTGACTTGTCCTTAATGAGTCTGTTCATTGCCTCAGCCGTGTGCTGGCCAGCAACAGCATACAAGTGGTATGTATGAGCCTGGGCGACATCGAATTCCGTCGGTGTGATCCGTCTGCCTTGAGAGTCATCCCCGCTCGGTACAATGGGAGCCAGGATGAAAGTCATGATATCCCACTTCCCGTTGGTTTCCTTAGCCGCATAATGGATCGCATTATATATGGACTGCACCAACGTTTCGTCCAATGTTCTATGGTTGAAGAGGATGTCACCTTCAGGAATTGGCAAGATCTTCGTTACATCCACTTGAATGTGTTCCCGATTCTTCTTCGCAAACCCATCCTCATCGAACTCCAAGAAGAAGCACCGTGTTGTGTCGATGGCGTCATAAGGGGTGTCGGAAGGTTGTGTCTGTTCCGACGGAGCCCTTGGAGCAACCCCTTCGGCGTCCTCTCCGGAGTCGCCCTCATCGACCATCTGCTTTCTTTTTAGTGGACGTTTATCCACTTTTGTCGTCTTGGTTGATGCCTTCCCTTTGCGGTTCTTCACGTTTTCAACGACCCCATCTTGAGAAGCTCTTAGTGCCTCTCGAGATGTAGCGACAGTGAGTCTCTTCGCAGCGCGTTTATCCGTCGTAGCTGTTGGACTTATTGAAGATCGCCGCTTCCTTTTGTGCACACTGCCCTCCGATCGATCTTCTGTTCCCTCATCGACCTCCACATCAGCCGACCCTTCTTGCCCTCCATCCTCATAATCGCCCGGATAGGCAGCATCGTTTTCTCCATCGCCCCCATAGTCCCCCTCGTCGTGCTGTCGAGACTTCCCGTCCTCGCAGTCGTGCATAGATTCCTCACGATCCTCTCTCTCTCTCTCTCTCTCTTTTTTCTCCTCTTTGGCATCGTCCTCTTCGACCCCACATTCCTCATCGTCGACGGCAGGATTACCCTGCGGATGCCGATCAACATGAATCAGAGGATCCTCCTCCGTTTCCTCGTCCGATCCTTCGCTTATCTCCCGCAGGGCCGCCCTCCCGGACGCACCACCATAGTCTTTTTGGCGGGCAGCAGACGGACCAGTTGTGCGGGCCTTCCTTCTGTAGGTAATGACAGGGGTAACTTCGTCTTGCCGGGTGGACGACTGAGACGGTCCTGCACATTCCCTCTGGTGGGTCGATTCCACAGGAGGACCACGAGCCCCTTCGTCAAGCTGATGACGTGGTTGGGGTCCGTTTGTTGCGGCACCGGCTTCCACCCGCAGACGTCTGCTGCGTTGGAAAACAATGTGGCGTCCTCTGTCTCTCTCTCTTTGCCATGCCGGGGAGATCCTCGTCCGGCGTGTCAAAAGGCACGAGTGTCGAACACATACGATGCCCGACATGTACCGTGGTACTGTTTCCGGATCTCATGTACCTGTTCGTTTTGGCGAGGAATTTCACGGGGCCAAGCATCGTCGGCACACTCCCGTCTTCTTTCGGGGAGACATCGAAGGCTTTCACGGTAATCGCCTTACCTCCATACCCCTTGAACAAATTGTAATCAAGGCTGACTTTATGGTCGACCTTCGCATGGTCCACTCCCTGTTTGTCGTACACCATTGTAAGGAAAAACCTCCTGAACTTCCGTCCATGCCCGTCCGCCCTCTCATCCTTGGATTTAATAATCCCTCCAACACAAAACCAGTTGTCGCCCGTGGCGGTCTTCAGAAACACAGCGGCCCCACATCCCACCTCGTGTAGGCCCCCCACCCAATCAAGGGCCCACTCCCTATCTCTATACATTGAGCAGGTCTTATTGACTCTCTTTTTCGGGACGGCAGATGCTCCTCCTGATGGTTGGCACATTCCAAACAGAAGAACTGATCGCTTTCAGATATCAAACCTTTCACTATCGCATCACGTTTTGAAGACGCCGCACCCCCTCCGATTACCTCGAGGCAAAACGAGCGGGTGTACGGCGTTTCGAGAACATCGCACCCCCGCTCCCTTTCCCCCTCCACCGTGAAACGGCGGGGGTACGGCGTTTTCAAAACGCTGTATCCCTTCGGCTCTGTCCACATACAGGGCCTAGGGGGTATGGCTATGTTACGATAACGCCGCACCCCCGCTCCCTCCACCCAACGCGAACCTGAGGGACTACGGCGTTCTCGAACCTCCGGACCCCCTCCGGTTCCCCTGAAGCGGAAGGAGCGGGGTACGGCATTCCGTGAACGCCGCACCCCCGCTCCCTCCCTCGCCGACAACCGGAGGGGGGGGTACGGCGTTTTCAAAATGCCGTACCCCCTCCGGTTCTCGGCGGGGTAGGGAGCGGGGGTACGGCGTTTCGAGAACGCCGTAGCCCCCCCTCTGGTTCTCGGCGGGGAAGGGTGCAGGGGTACGGCGTTCTCGGAATGCCGTACCCCCGCTCCCTTCCCCGCCAACAACAAGAGGGGGAACGAAGTTCCGAAAACGCCGTACCCCCACCAATCATCGGCGGGTGAGGGAGCGGGGGTACGGCGTTTCAAGAACGCCGTACCCCCGCTCCCTCCCCCGCCGACACCCAGAGGGGGTACGGCGTTCCGAGAACGCCGTACCCCCACCGGTTATCAGCGGGGGAGGGAGCGGGGGTACGGCGTTCCGATAATCCCCGCTCCCTCCCCCGCCGGTAATCGGTGGGGTAGGGCATACTCGGAACGCCGTACCCTGTTCCCCCCCCCTCCCCCCCCCATAGGGTACATGATTGGTGGGGAAACAAGGCGGGGGGAGATTCGGGGGAGATTCGCGAATCTCCCCTCACCTTGTTTCCCCACCAATCATCTACCCTATGGTGGGGAAAGCTACGACCTACCAACCAATCAAAAAAGTACACATTTTCGACATTTTTCGAAAAAAAAAGGTGGGGGGAGATTCGCGAATCTCCCCCCACCTTGTTTCCCCACCAATCATC